GCGTTCTCGTCCCTTTTCCTTACCTATCCTTAATAGTCACATGATTATTAGCTCTTACCTATCGGTTTCTCTTCCCTACCCCTCTCCCCCTACCCCGTACAAATCCTCCCCTCTCCCTCTCCCCCCTCCCCCTCCCGGGCCCTCATCCTTTCCCTTACCCTCCACCCTCTCCCCTACCCCCACCCCCTACCCCTTACAAATCCTCCCCCTCTCCCTCTCTCCCCTTCCCCCACCCCCTCCCCACCCCCCCCACGCTCCTGACAAAGGCCTTCCAATGTAACATAGCATTAGCACGCTGCTGAGGACTCTGGCAGGACCATTTGTCTCCGCCGGGGCCTACCACTGGGTTGTAGCGCCGTGCTTGTCGGGTGTTCGTCTCCTTACTTTAAGAGAGAGAGAGGGAGAGTGAGAGAGGAGGGAAGGAGGAGAGAGGGAGGGAGGGAGGGAGGGTATGGGAGGGAGGGAGGGAGAGGGAGGGAGAGGGGAGGAGAGAGGGAGGAGGAGAGGGGGAGGAGAGGGGGAGGGAGGGAGGGAGGGGGAGGGAGGGAGGGAGGAGGGGGAGGGAGGAGGGAGGGAGAGGGGGGGAGGGAGGGAGGGAGAGAGAGGGTGGGGGAGGGAGGGAGGGAGGAGGGAGAGAGAGAGAGAGAGAGAGAGAGAGAGAGAGAGAGAGAGAGAGAGAGAGAGAAGGAGAGACTGAGGTCGTTATCGTGTGGGTTTCTGTTGTCTGTTTTTTTTTTTTTTTTTTTTTTTTGGGGGGGGGTAATTGGGATGATTTTTTTTTGAGTGGGAAGGGGGGGGTGTATTTTTTTCTTGGGGTGGGGGGTGGGGGAGGGGTGTTCTCATTAGGGTCTTTTCTGTGTCTTTCGTTTGCTTGTCTGTCGGTCTGTCTGTTTTCCTTTTTTTACGCCTGTTTGTCTGTCTCTCACTCCCTCCCTTCTCCTTTTCCATCAATTATCTTAAAAGAAGGAAGGGGAGAAACAACAACAGCTCGGAAATTAAAAAGAAAGAAAGAAAGAAAAGAAGAAAGAAAAGAAAAGAAGGAAGAAAAAGAAAAAGAAAAAAGAAAAGAAAAGAAAAGAAAGAAAAGAAAGAAAGAAAAAAAGAAAAATAAAAAAGAAAAAAAGAAAGAAAGAAAGAAAGAAAAGAAAAAAAGAAAAGAAAGAAAGAAAAAGAATAAAAAGAAAAAAGAAGAAAAAAGAAAGAAAAAAAGAAAGATAAAAAAAAAAAGAAAGAAAAGAAAAGAAAAAAAAAACGTTTCCAGCCCCAACTTAAAAACGTTTCGGCAGATCTCGGATGATCGCTGAAGATGTGCTGAAGACGCCTTTATGCTAACACTCTCTATCTATCTCTAATTATCTATCTATCTATTGTCAAAAAAATCGTTACAACTCACAAACTATAACTGCATGGCTTTTTCTCAGGGGACTAATAGGCCTATATTTTATTAGAGCACTTTGATGTAATTGCTTTAAGTGCAATGGTGATGATAATGATGATGATGAGGATGATGATGATAATAATAAGATAATAATAAGTAGTAAGATAATAATAAGTAATAGTAGTAATAACAACAATAATAATAACATTAATAATAATAATAATAATAATAATAACAATAATAACGATTATAATAATGATGATGATACTAATAACAAAAAAACAAAAATAGCATTAAAAGTCCTGAACAAAAAATTTCCTCTTTCAGCATAGAAGCACAGCTGATTAAAATGTCTCTCAGTCAAACTTAAGTGTCTTCACCAATGCATTTCAGGAAAAAAGTGCTTGCTATGCAGTACAATGCAATGCTCACTGATTGTTCCATGTCTGACGTCATCAGTGTCCCAAAAATAGTACCAAGTGGACGTCATGCAGAAGAGGGGGACCGGTTAGTAATTATCGATGTGTTTTATCGAAAGTACAAAATATGTGTATGTGCATATGTATATATCTGTACACATTGTAGATTTCCAAGTAATTATTCATATAATTATACTCCTGCTTGGTAAATACGACGGGCTATCAAGGTTAATAAATCTCTTATAAAAAGTTTGAATGACAAAAAGGTTAAATGAGATTAAATAGGATTAATAGGAATTACATTTTATGGTCTAATTTAAAGTGGATATCCTTTGGTTGTTAATTCGATTGTGTGAGTTTGATTCTCGAGGGAAAAAAGGTGTGTATATCAGATTAATGGTGATAGGAATAACAGTAGAAATAATGATAATAACAATAACGAGATAGAGTGGTGGTAATTGTTAATATGATGGGTGATAATATGCTGTGGAAACACTATGACTTTTAGCGTG